TGAGAGGATAATGAATTTTATAGATGATGAAAAAGAAATCCACACACGCGCATATAAAATAATAAAAAAAGGTGAAAAAATAAGATGAAATTGAAGAGTTATTTAGACAAATATCTAGTGTTAAGCATTAATTTAATGAAGTAATATATTCAAGAAAGAGGTGAAGAAAAAACAGAAATGATGATAAAAATAGCAATAAAAAATACACACATATTAAAAGAACATATAGTGTAGTAAATATTATTAAATAATATATACTGAATTTAATTAATTTATAAAATATTGTGTAAAAAGGTGAATATAGCAACATTTACATTTTTAATACCGATGATGAAAAATGTATAATGACGTAGAGTTCGCAATATATACAAGAAAAAAAAATGGAAAAAAATATTACACATTTTCAATGATTAATGGAAGAAAAAAATTAGTACACACAACTTGCCTGACCTAGTACAGTGCTAATGACAAACTATCAACAAGGTTTTAAGGGACAGTCAGTCGCTGAGTTAATGAAGAAAGTAGCTAATCGATTACCATCAGTTTTAGATTGAACTCAATGCAATTGATCACCATTTCGCCCCACAAAACTGAGATCAATTACAATAGAGAAAGAAACCTAAAAGATAATTATAGAAAATATTGAACTAATGGTGAGACTACAATAAAACCAAATGACTTAAATTATTTTGTCTCCTACTGCATATTTTTTACGCCATTTTTCCTTTTTAATCTCAACAATAAATAAGTGACAATCAACAATAAACCAAGTTTGTTATTAAAGTATTGTAATTATAGAATGGAAAATGCTAGAAGAGAAAATAACATTTTGGTGATTAATTGAATTGAGTTTTCATGCCAACATAATTCTGCACTAATGCAAATTGAGTTGTAATGAAATGAAATAGTTTTTCAATTTACCTTCATCAAGATATCTTACGAATTTAGGCAAAACGAAATGCGTAAAGAAAATAGTTTGATAAAAACGTACTGCACAAAAGGAGGAGAATGAGAGAGCGCATATAGAAACATAAACGGATTATCACATTTTTTGACAATACTGTCTTTACACTATATAGTAAAAGAACAGTAACAGCAGCTGCATCATTTTTAATCAATATAGCAAGAAACGTAAAAATTTTATTTAGATGGAAAACACTTTTTTCGAGTTTCAGTGGAAAAGAAAAAAAAATATGGAGAAAAATATATCATAGTTTAAACAAGGCATATACCTTAAAAAGGAAAAAAAAATATGATAATGAAAAAATTAAATACAATACAAAAATATCACATTTGCATTAATTCCCAAAACACAATGATCGACAGACGATAATTTACTCATAAAATGTTTCGAAATGACAAAAAAAAGAGAAATTAGATCAAATAGCGAATTATGTACACTTTTATCGGAAATTCAAGTCAATTTCTTTCACGTTTGAAGAAAAATAAGAATTAGCCAAGAAAGACACAATTAGAAAATAAAAGCGTAAATTCTCGTCTCGATCGATTGTAGCTTAGAGTGCCTCTAAAAGTAATTATATTAAATAAAAGATGAAAGAATATTATAATGAGAAGATGAAGATTATATAGAAAGTAAAGATAAGAATTTCACACAATTGCATAAACACACTAACACACCAACACAACACACACACACCACAAGACTAAACATGATTGAGAATGAAACATTTCTGCGAATGGCGTGATCCCGAGACATTTAGAGATGATATTCAAGTAGATAAAATTGTTTGTGGAGAATAATGGAAAAAAAATCACTTTAATAAATTGTATCGCTTACACTTGATATGAGAGAAAGAATATGGAAAGGGAAAATGTTTTGAAAAATTTATTCACATACCCTGAATTTGGTTTTTTTCAGTACACAGCAAGGCAAAAGAGAAACTCAAATATTGGTTCGAAATCAGTGAAAACAAAAAATCATAATTATCATTCTTTGGTATTCTATAATTTCAAGAATCTGGAATAGCAAAAGTATGGGAAATTTGAGGTGAAAAAAAATATACAGGGTGTGACTTTAAAATCGCGACAAATTTGAACACATATTCTGCAATGAAGGAAGAGTTTTAACATGGCGAAATAGTAAAACCACACATATTACGAATGATTAATAAATGGAGTAAAAAGAATAAAGATTTATTATAAATATTTTATAATAAATGTAGCTCAGGGCAACTCAAATTCTTCCATATTACAGTGTATAATGCAATAGAACCATAGATTTTTACATAATTACCAATGAAAAGAGTAAAAAAAAACATGAAATAGCAAATCGCAGATACAGTTATAAATGGAAAATAAAACATGAATATTATGACACATATTGAAAAAAAATAAATGGTTGAACAAGTAAACCAAGAGCAAACAACAGTGGTAAAAATTGAACCAGTTGAGATTTTAATTTGTTATTTTTATACTTATTGAATGAATACAACCATAATAGTGTGTATTTTTTAACACGATACAGCTACAATATTTTAAAGTGAAACATACACAATGAATTCAAAACATAATACAAGAAAAGGTCATAGTTTTGTCTCTGGTTTTGGTTTACAATAGCTGAGTAACATATTTACATACATAACATGCGTATATACAACCCCAATCGCCCTTAACGATGTCCCAAGACACAATATTGGTTTAAGGCCTAATGTCTTTTCGTTCAAAGAATCACACTTTTAAAAAAAATATGAACCTTTCACAAAAGACCCAAAAAAAATTTTCTTCTTAATTTCTCTTATCATTGGGACTCGTGAAATTCCTTTGCGTTCTGTGGTCCTCAACAATTTATTTCCCGCCCACAACAGACAACCATAGTGAATATAAAGAAATATAAAGAGATAATTTGAGTGCCAAGCTATTATACATTATTATAAAAACAATACCTACTGAGGAATAATTGAAAAGTCGACGATTCAACACGTAAACTTGATAACATTGTCAGTTCTGTTTCGAAAAAAAAAAACATGAAACAAGTACAGAGAATCTTGCAGAATTACAAGGACATTGGTAGAAACACAATAAAACATGCAGAATAGGAAAAATATTGATGAGATTTTTTCAAACTGAATAAGAAATAGAACCAATTTTTACAATATATATTTAAAAAATGACTTTCTTCATATAAAACAACATGAAATAGACATGGAAAATATTAGTCTTTTTTATTTTTTCTATAATACCAGAAAACCGCCACAGAGCGGTTAATATATAGTTGCGTTCTGAAAAACCCTGAATTCAACTCATTTTTGCTACTTTATAAATGACTACTCAAATGTTGATATGTACATTTTTCACGCAACATTTTTGTCTTACTTTACAGTGCATTTATCAGAATACAAAACTGATTGTTTAAGCAAATTGTTAAATTCCATATTGAAATGAGAAGAATGAGTGGAGAAAACGTTGTTAATAGTGAATATTTTCCCAATATGAGGATGCGAATATAGTGTCGCAAATTGAGCTGAAAGAAGCATATTTTGCAATTTTAAATGTGAATTAGAAATGCGAAAGACGAAGAGAGTGAGAGAAAGAGTTAGGAAAGATGAAAAGGTGTTAAAAAATGGACGAATACAATACAATTTTTCATATACAACTCACAACATTCACACTGTAGTGCCTACCCCTTTGAAATAGTGGATAAAAGTACATAAAATTGTATAAATTTGACAAATAAGATCGGTCATGATCATTTTGGATGGATTTTATTTTTTTTCTCGTCATTTTAGCCCTTCTTCCATTTTTCGTTTTACCCGAAATAAAAATCCCGCTTATTAAAAACATAACGGAAAATGAATGAATTTGTATAATATAAATTTGAAGAACAAGATAAAGAATAATTTGAAATAGTTTGATTGCCCATTTCATGCTCTTCATCCAAGATAGAGAGTTTGAAAAATTGTTCTAATGTGTTACTACAATAATAAAAATACAAATTTATATTTATTGCAGAAAAAAGGAAAAAAAATAATGAAAAATAATATATAATTTATGTTACACAAGTTCATTGATTAATCATTAAGTAATATTACAGTAATATTTAAATCTATTTTTAAAAACAGAAAAAATACAGAGGAATTTTTATTTAAGAGAGAATTCATAATTTTTAAGTTTTATCAATTAAAAAGAATACATTATAAAGAAATAGTTGCAATGGCATTCATATGTTCCTATAAATATTTGTATTTTATACATAAAGAAGAAAACATTGAAAAATAGTGAAATAGAGAATAGAAACTTTTAAATTTAAATAAATTACACAAAAGTTTGGCGTTGCATAAATTGAAGAAAAAAAAAACAATTAATAAATTCAAGACATGTCAAAAAGTGACGAAAATATACCACACAGCTTTTTCGAAAGATTCACCAATGAATTTTATACACAATTTGGATCTCCCATTTAAGAATATATCAACCGCAAGTGAAAAAAAAATCTTGGGAAAAATTAATTCTCTTTCTCATTTATTATTTGTCCTTTTGGTGTTATAAACGGGAGAAAATTTGAAAAAAAGAACATTGTACTATAGGAAGAGAAAAATAAGGAAAAAATATAAAAAGTCAATAAGTGAAACACCCTGTATTGTAAAAAGTGTAATAACAATTATAAAAACCCAAAAAAATATTTTTCACACAACATAAGAGACAAAAAATGTATGAATTTAAAGAGATATTATACAATTAATGAATATGTGAAGAAAATAAGGAAAAGCAAGAGAAAGAGAGAGACAGAGAGATGAAAAAAAGAAAGTAAAATGATAAAAACAAAATCATGCATATCATAGTTGTAATAATACAATTTTGACGAATAAAAAATGCTGTAAAATACTTCAAAGAATCTAAACAGCAAATATTAATAAATACAAAGTGAAATCTTTTGAGAATTTTAGCAATACTCCAAAGCTTTATTACTTGCCTTCTTTCTCTTGATGTTTAATGTAATGTCTCAGTGATAGATTTCATTGTGCCTTCAATTGCCTTTTCAGATCGAAGACAGTGCTATTCCAATATTCGGAACATCATTACTCAGTGGCGGAGCCCTAGGAGGACCCAGTCGCTGCCCGACTCCGTTTGCATTCCCCTTCGCGCCACTTGGCTTGGGCCTCTTCGACGCCGACCCATCCAGAATGCTCAGCTTCTTGCACCATCACCAGTCCTTGCTTGCAGAGGAGGCTCTAAGGTAGAGAAAAGCGACAATCTTCCGACCTGTATTTTAACCGCTATTTGTCCTACTTTGTCAGCTGACATAGAATATTGTGAATTTTCTGAATGTATTTTATTTTTATTCCCACAAAAGATATCGCGGTCTCTTTATGAACCCCAAAGATTCAACCAACATTCGATTCAATCCTCTGGCTGAGATGTTTTCGAAGGAGCAGGAGTTGCTGCTGAAGCGCGCAAACTTTTTCAAGAACACCTTCCGATACCCTCTTCACGCCACTCCGGACATTTTTGCCTCTACCTCAGCGTCCAGCTCAAAAGACGGAGCCTCAACTTCCAAGGACGATCGACGCAGTGCGACCACCACCTACGGGCAGTCCAAGGAGAGCCAGTCCAGTCACCGTTCCTTCCACTCACCCACCGCAGACAAGGTGGTGGAGAAGTACGACTTAACCAAACCTCCAACTCCCACCGAGAGCTTTCCGGGCAGCTCCAAGGATATACTCGATGACATCCTCCACAAGCGCAGTGGAAACTACCTCAAGGAGAGTTTCCGGTTCAATCCACTGAGCGGATCAGACCGTCGAGCCATGAGTCCCAAGGACAAGTCCTCCTCCTCGACATCCTCATCTCCAGCCATCAAGCCCATTCCGGAAACTCTGCTGCTGCAGGATGGCACAACCATTGAAGAAGAGACCAAATGCACCGTCTGCATGGCCACATTTCCATCCGTGTGGCTCCTGGAACAGCACGCAGCTCTTCAGCATGCCGGAATAGGCGCCATGGAGGAGAAGCCCTTTATCTGCGAACAGTGCGGCCAGTCCTATCGCTACCGCTCCGCCTATGTGAAGCACAGAGAGCAGAATCATCGCGCCAGGTTGCCCGCTGATAAGCTGTTCACGTGCGATGTCTGTGGCATGCAATTCCGCTACTTGAAGTCCTTCAAGAAGCACCGACTCAACCACGCTCTAGAGCGCCTGCACGGGAAGAATGAGAAGAAATACGGAATGGAGTTGGGCACAGAGGTCGTGACAAGTTCCAATGACGACGACAACGAGCTGAAGATCACGATCAAGGAGGAGGAGGATGAGGAGGACCAGGATGACACTGTGGACTCTGCCGGGGGAAATTTGTGCAATACCGATCCGTCAGCTGATGGAGACATTGTGGTGCCCAAGATCACCAGCTCTGCTGAGACGATCGAGTATCCATCAACCAACAGTGGATCTGCGATGAACGAAAGGGAGGTAAGACAGTTGAGCAGTCATCAGTCTCACTCTTTACACACCTTCCTCATAGAAATTCAACCTTCCTTTGCAGGATCACTTGCTGAAGAAGCGCATGGAAGTTTGCGCTCTGCCCACAACCTCAGTCAATTCCCTCCTCACTGCCGAGCGGATCCCCAGCGACCAGGCACTGGGTCTCAATCCCCAGGAGGCTTCGATTCTCAATTTCCTGCGCGTGGACGCCGCCGAGAGGCAGCGCGATCGCCGCTTCGCGTGTCCCTTCTGCGGCAAGTGCGTGCGCTCGAAGGAGAACCTAAAGCTCCACGTCCGGAAGCACACGGGCGAGCGCCCCTTCGTCTGCCTCTTCTGCGGCCGCGCCTTTGGCGGCAAGTCCGACCTCACGCGCCACCTGAGGATCCACACCGGGGAGAGACCATACCACTGCGAGGCGTGCGGAAAGTGCTTCGCGCGAGCTGACTACTTGTCCAAGCACCTCACCACGCACATCCACAATTCGCCACGCTGAGATGAGGTCCGGCGACGCCGCATCCTCGGCGCTCGCAGGTAATATCGTGACCAGCAGCAGTGGTGGACACAGATCGCACAAATGTTCAATGCACAGGACCCGAACAACTCTCCTCAGTCACACCATCAACCCTAGATCACTATACCAAAATTCACCATCAACTTAGGACGATATGATTCAAAGCAATAATTTACCAAGTGTAGACTCTTACCGTTTCTGCTCAAGATGAGTCCCTCCCGGGAGATAGAAGGACTGTTGTCAATGGATTGTTGGGTGGGCGAAGCCGGAAGTAAACGATAGACGGGATTGTAGTTACGGAGGGGTAGAATATCACAAAGTTATCAGTGAAACATCCGACTTAATAGGAAACAGTGGCAGAACATTTTTCTAACAATAGAATAGAAATATTAGTCAGTGACAACATAAGAAAAAAGGCTACACACAATTAAGGAATGTACACGTAAAAGAACAGCATATTTCCACATGACAATTGAGAACTTCTTCGTCATCAGTTTATTATTATTTACTTGTATTCGGCTCGAAACACCACAAAGTTAGTTATTTATTCGACTCAGTGATTTTATTTTTTCACAACAGTATGCATAAAAGATAATCCAATGAAATTGGAATGATTAACCAAAAATATGGATACGCAGATTGAGTTCAAAGTGATGATCATGTATCGATGTCCAGTTCTTTTACGAGTGCAATTCAACAAAGAGTAACGAGATAATTTGGTTTCAACTTCGAAGTAAAAACTTTTTACAAGAGAAGCATAAACAAACAGTTTTTCCGCAATTAATGTCTGTGATTTAACCATTAATAAAACAAGTGAAATAATTGTAATAGATTCAATTCTATTCTCTATTGCTGTGCGTGAGTGAGATGAACGTGTAAAATCGAAAACATACCCACACCAGAAACAACGAATAATAATTTTCCTTATCGCGCGATGACCATTGTGATGGTGACCACAAATGAAATCATTTCGAGCATCGAATTGCATAAAAGGATCCATTCAGTTTTACTCCTCATTCCCTTAGGAAAGAATTTAAAAAAAATGGAAATAAAATTAGGAATATGACAACGCGATAAAGTGTAATGGAAATAATAAGCACTGTGCCAAAATATCTGTACCTCTCACACGCAAACGATATTGAAAAGGTACACCTCATCGTAATGGAAAGATTAGAACTTGTAGCTAAAAAGTTAAATTTTCTCAAAAAAAAATTGCATCAGTGTCTGCATTATAAGTGTCTAGGAATAAATAAAAAAAACACACAAAATTGAAATTTTAATTGTCAATTTTACACTCCCGAAGAAGATATATTGAAAAATGTCTATTTTTCTCCTCATTCCGTGACATCACACAAACTTTAAACCTTTAAAGAAAAAAAAATTACCCCGGAGAAAATATAGTTCATGCGTGTATAAATGAATAAGTCGAAAGGAAATGCAAAGAAATCCACAGAAACTATTGTACAAAAATTATCATGAAATAAAAGATGAAAAGTAAAATTCATTCGCAGATGAAAAGAAGAAATATAAACAAGCAATACGATGTTTTCGGTGTTTAAATATTACCTAATGAAAAAAAACGCAACTAAAAAGCTAGGATATGAGAAGTAATTTGAAAAAAAAAATTATATTTAGAGTTTAAATGGCATATATATTGAACAAGAAAAGAAGATATTTGTGAGCGCCAGAAATATTTTTCACATTTTCACAATTATAAATGTCCAATTTTCTATATTACCAGAAATGACGAAAGATGAGTGACAAGATGAAGAAGATGAATTAGATATTAAACTAAATGGTTGACACGCAATTCAACGGAGTGATATATTACTATGAAATGAAAATTATATTATATTTATATAATTGAGTGTAATTTTAAGAAAGCTATATATACATTTGAGAAACAGAAGGAAGGATGAGAGCAGCGAAGTCTAGTGCACACATTTTATAGGTGTAAATAAGTGGGAAAGAGGTTTGTTGGCGAAGATAGACGAAGGATGGGAAAGAAAGAGCGAAAGTTAGAGCAAAAATTATTATTGAAACACTTTCTATACATGTTCCTATATTGTGTGAAAGGAATTGACGATGGACGAAATGATGAAGAAAACATAGGTAAAATATTTGTACATAGACTTATATAATTGGTGTAATTATGTGTAGTGAAACTTAAAAATTTAAGAAAATCCCAGAAACTCTTTTAGATATTTCGTGAAAATTGCACAACATATTCCCAAGTGGTGGAAAGCTGATATTGAAAAGTTGTTCTCATGCCAGAATGACAAATGCTTGGGATGTTAATTTTAATCTTTGTGAAATTTTCGAAATTATTCTTGATTGAGGTGAAGATTAAAAAGAAAAAAAAAGAAATTTGAGTGAAATATAAGATGAAAAAATCAAATTTGGAGGGATATAGACTTGGTAGTTAAATCAATTTCATTATCTTACCCAATTAAAAGAGTATATTCCTTCAGTATATTGATATAGACAAATTATTTCCTAAAAAGAAAAACACTTCTTGCAAAAGAAATATACTTTTCCTTTTGTCTATGTAATCACTCAGTGAATGGATGGATGAAAAACAACAACAAACGAAGACATAATCAACGAATAAGAAAATATTGAAAATGAAAACTAGTAAAAGAGAAAATATTGATCTATATTTTTGGGAATTAGTTTTCAATTGACTTCAAGTTTCATTTCATAGTGAAAAAGGAAGTGACATTGTACATGAAATATGGGTCAAAGGTTTCACAAAATCGAAAAGAAAATAATCCCAGACACATTGCATTTTCTTTTCAATGGCAATTGACTTGAACAACAATCACGAGAAATTTTCAATCAAAACTGCAAAGTATAAGTCTTTTGGAATTCACATTAATTTCTATTTGAGATAAAAATGAAGCACAACTACAAGATATTTGTGTAAAATCACAGAGAAAGAAGTCACACTAAATCTTCTTCTATATTGCTATAGTGATAAAAATTCAATATTTGTAATTAGAAATTAAAAATATTTGCATAAAAATATTATTATACATAATGACTATTGAATTAATATCGATGTTAATTGTCATACTTTAAAATACAAAAGATATTTGGTGTTGTGACTAACATTTTAACATATGTGTGTTCAAAAGAACTTCTATATTATATGGAAAAATTACAAAAAAAAATTGTATAATCATAGGAAAAGAAAGAATTATATTTATTTTAATTTGATAAGAGTGAAGTTTTCATTGTATTAGGTCTTTGAAATTAGTTTTCTCATCACATTTTCTATGAATTTAGGTCGAGATAAAGTATTCTGTGTTCCTTGATATGCCAGCTAATGAAATTCAAAGAACAAAAAAACGTATTTTCATGATAAACATTTCAATAGAAACGTCCAAACAATATAAAAATATTTTTCCATGAAATCTATGTAATGTTTCACATCAAGTACTGCGTGACATTATCCTTCTTTTATACAGACGCGAGAAAAGAAAATGTTCAACGATACTGAAAGGAGTAAATTTTTCAATTTTTGTAATAATTGACAACCACAAGTCAGATACACCGGACAGAAGTGATAGGAAAATGTAGGCGAAGAACGATAAAGAGAATGGCGAGATTAGGAATGTTTTAATGAGATATATTATGAGATAAGAAAATGAACAATTTGAACGAAGAATGTGATATTTTTAACAAGTAAAAAATATTAAATGAACACTAGAGTGGATTATAGTAAGATTGAGAAGTAATATTTTTAAAACGAGACTGATTATAAATAGAAAAGAAAAAAAATACATACAAAGATGATTAAAAAATTTACCCCGATCCTCCCTTCACGACATTTTGAAGATCTCATTGATTTTCTTTTAGACTTTTCGAGGGAATGTCAGTTTTGTGTTTTTGCAGTAAAATCGTTGCAATGAATTTTTGATTCAGTTGAAGTTCAGAAAGTGTTGCGAATGTGAAAATCTCTTGTTTCCATTTGGGTTAGTCAGGAGTTTTCGCATCTCTTGCATGTAGCAACTAATTCTTCATCTTAACTCTTGTTATGGGTCTTGAAATGAATACCTCTCTTTCTATGTGTCTATGTATAAATATTCATGTAGATACTTTTGTGGCACAGAAATGATCATAAATAGGTTCAAGAGAAAACTCACACATTCAATAGAATTTTTCCACAAGAACAGCAATATAACTATTCTGAGAACATTGCATGAAATAACCTCAGATTAACCGGTGCTATTATTACAACAAAACTATGTGATACATTGTTATATGAAGGATTTCTTTTTAATTACTTGAAACTCCCTCCAATTCTCTTAGTTCTCATCCGATTTTTTGATTAATTTTGTGAGAAAACGATTTTTTTTCTTCAGAAATCAACTCGTTCTTCTGTTTTTATTCTTACTAAATAAACTTCGATAAAAAAACACACACTCGTTGTCTATAGAGGTGAAAGAGAAAAATATAAACATGAAAATATAAAACACTCGACTCAAAATTTGCTTTTGGTGTATGTGAACTAAAAAAAGAACTTGAAAACTCGAAAAAAATTATCAATATGTATTTTAGCAAAATTAAAATTTGGTGTTTATGGCTATAAAAATTCGAAAAATGTCTAGAATTAAAAAAAAACATAAATCCATGTATTCCAAATGTATTAAAAAGTCATGAAAAAAGTAATATAGTCGATGTGTGTTTTACCTTGTCTCACTTATAAATTAAACAAGAAATTAAGCAAAAATAAGTGTCCCATCAAAATTTTTGCATTGCATAACTACTTGATGAAGAGATGCACTACCACCACAATATCTATTAATTAATATTAAATTAATTACAAAAAAAAATATATTGTAATCACAATATTTCTGTGTTGTAAAATTTGTTAAGCAAAGAAGAGAAAAAAAGAAATAAAAAGTGCAGCATAAAATATTAGTGAAGTGAAAAATAAGAATATTAAGTGTACAACTTTAGAAGTAATCTTATTAAAATGATATAAAAATATATATTAAACAAGGAGAAAGTATTTAGATGAAAAAGAAACACAATGGATGCCTGCCAATAAAAACCGTACCAACATTTTTTCGTTCTCTAAACAATTAAAGAAAAGGAAGTGTGACGAAAGAAATATACCAATAGTTTTATAAAATATTTGAGTATGAAACGAGAATTATTGTATGATAACACACCAGCAAACAAAGAGAGTAATTTCTACGATTTTTTAAACATAACAAATCACCCACAACAACCGCCAATAAAACTATACAATTTACTATATTTAAATATCTATTTTTAACAGATATTTATATTAAATTAAGCAAATGAATGGAAATAGAGGTGGAAAGGAAGATATTTTTCATTACTGTATAAATTTATGATAAGGAGAATCAGAAAGTTTTATTTATATATTTCAGTAATATATTTACTTTTTCTATTCTTAGTGACAAGGACAGTGAGAATTTGTAACAAAAAAAAAGAAATGGTGAGAGATGGACAAAGAAAATAGAGAAAAGTGTAAATTAAGATTATTGTATTTAGTAGGCAAACAATCGAAGGAAGAGGAATGATGATGGAATCAATCGATTTAGCAAGTTAGCCAACGGTGGGGGAACACGTTATCAATAATTTTACACAAAATTCTAATGTAAAAAGCTTTTGTTTTGCTCTGTTTTATTTCTTCTTTTTATATTTTACAATTATTGGCGAAAATCTGGCTCTGGTATCTGCAATTTTATCAGCAATCATATAAATTAAGTTGTAGAAAAATAAGTGATTATTGAGAAAAAAGGAAACATTATGAACCACGCATTTCATACAACGCAATATTTTCTATAATGACGAAACAAATGGCGTAACTTTAAAGCAGAGAATATTTTTTAAATAAATCGATCAGAATTATTAGAAGAAATGTAATACAACACAATATGTATACAAACTCAGGAAGACCAAAACCCAAAACTTATTTGCCACATAAGCAGTCAATTGTTTAAAAGATTCCTCTGTAATGATATTTCTAAAAAAAAAAGTGAACTGTTATAGATTCTTTTCTTCATAGATCTCCTTCACTATTTTCTCTTTATCTTTCATATATTGTTTGATTTTTGAACAGCGCGAAAAGAATTGAGGATGGATTTTTGATGATGGAAGGATAAACAAGAAATTCTACAACTCAATAGCAATAATTAACTAATTAATAAGTGTTTAGGAAGCAGATTTAGGAACAAAAAGAAAACACAATGCAAGAATGGTATTGTAAAATTTTGGAGTCAACAGCAATTTGTCAATGTGACACAAAAAAATTAAAAGATGAAAAAAAAATTGACGTAAGATACTTGAGTTAATCCACAGGAAGAAGGATTGAGTTTTGCAGTTGATTTTCTCTTTATAGACACCAACTTCAAGTATAATATAAATACTATTAAACATAAGTAAACTAAAGAATAATGATGATCACTGGAATGTGAAATTTTTAGCAATTCAAATCTTGTTGTAATAAATGTTATATTTACAATACAATATAAAAAATATACATGGAGTTTATATATGTAAATTGTGGACTTTTGATGGCACTTCAAAATTTTGTCGGGTCGAATTGTCCTTTTTCTTCTATCGTCACAACTTGTGAGGACATTTTTGAGCGAAACTCTGCTTTTGGGTTGAGATCTATGCTACAATTAATACATATATAGAAAAAGTGGAAAGCTTCCTCTCAAGCTTACCGTGTCCAGACTGTCGGGAGAATCCTAGGTAAACATATGCAGAAAGTGCTGTAATGAACGGTTGGGCGCTTTTCTAGCAGTTGAGCATATTCATATCTGTGTGTCTCGCTCTCTCTCGTTCACACTTCTTATGTGCACAGCGCATTCCCCTCACTCAACACATCGACAAAAGTGGGATTTTCACATTGAAGCACCTTCCTCGGCACGGAATACTTGCCAATGGTAAACAGGAAAATGCTGCCATGTTGAAAGCATCACAACCAATGCCCGAGCAACAAACATCGGCGAGCAAATATGAGTTTGTCCAACCTCCAGAGAGACTTCATGTACACAGAGACGAAGGCACACAGTGTGGGCGCAAAAAGTCATTCTCAGTAACGCACGAGCAAAATGAAATAGCAAGCAAATGATAGCCATGAGTTGAGTTCACAGGACATATTAATTTTCTGTGTGGCCCAGAACCACCGACAGGAGGGATGTTTGCACACCTTTTCTTTGCAGGACCAGATAGCAATTCGAGATATGTTAGATGAAATGTGCGGTGAAGGTAAAATAGCGTGTAAAATGACTTCTTTTCACCGGGAGAACACTCTTCTCTCACTCGCACACCTCATGAATATGAATTTTCACCGCGCGACGTTTGGGAAAATTGCAAATCTCGCACGTTTTTCTGTCTCAGTCAACAGAAATTCTGTCTTTGCAATAAATCTTGCTATATGGAAATTTCCCACTCTCCTTTCTCTCTCTCTCTCTCTCAACATAATATTTTAGGGTGAATATACAAAGAGAAAAGAGAAGATCTCAATACGTGATGAAGATGAAAATGGTATTTAAATAAAATTATGATCAATCATTTTCAGGTGACTTTTTCGCACATTCAATGTATGCATAAACACCTCCAAGGTTAATGTTTTATGTGCAATAAATTGCTGTATTTTATTATTTTCTGTTGGATGTGTCGAAAATGTAAATTATGGATGAATATGTGTCTCTGTCTCGTGGCGTCGCGCCACACTCTTTTGCCGCCCGAAAGAGGTTTGCCAAGCGAGAGTATAGCAAAATATCCATAGCGATACAGTAAGACGATGTATTGTCCAGATTAATTTATGACAGAGTATCTCCTTCAGACTTGCCTTCTTTTAATACTTCTTCTCGGGCACTCTTTCTCTCATCACTGCAACAACCCTGTTGACTCTCGCCCGTTAGTCCTTTGAGGAGATTCTCCTTTCTTTGACTTTGCCTCAAGTTCATCAACCACGGGAATTACTATGTATACTTTTATGGATACAGATTTGTTTATCCGGTAAATAAAAACGCAATTTTCACCAAAAGTTCAAGTTTAAATTTCTTTCTTCGTGTACAATCTCAAGAGAGCCTCTTCTATCTCACATTCTCTCACAATGGCCAACAGTTGCCAACAAACAACCAACGTTGTTTTGCCCATCAGAATAAACTTGAACTTTGGTGGTCGGGAGAATTCATTTCTAGCTTGGCGTCATGATGAGAGTTTGAACCGTAGCAGAACATCAGGAAATAATTAGTTATTGAATAAAAGTACACACGCACAAAAAGAGGAAGAGCCGAAAAGGGTTGAAAAGAGGAGCGTGGGTCAAAAAAGGTATTTTTATTTAACACAAAATCCCCACTTTTATTTTGGGGCTTAGTGTGATTTCGATTGGAGATTATTCCATAATTAAAATGACATTATGGTGAACAGTACAAAAGCACCACAAACATTTGGCTACCGAAATGCTCGCTATTTAATTTTGATTGATGACCCCACTTGCGCTCTCTCACTCATTCTCTCACTCGTACAAATCATCAGAAGCTCAAGCACATAAAATCTACAATAACACCCATGATGCTCAACATAAAACTCTTCACGCCGCAAGAATACCACCTTAATTTGAATATATAAGAGAGTCACAAGTCACTGTCCGACGCTTCTCCGAGGGAATCCAATTGAAATAATTATGCCCCAACCGAGAGAGAAAGAGAGAGAGATAGGGAGAGAGAGAAGAAACTCCGCCGACTCAGTCGCTAATCATCAAAGAGCTCTGCAACACAACACAATTCCTTATCATTGGCAATTACAAATGATATTTTTCGGGTGTATTCTTCATCATCACGTGTAGTCATTTGCACCGACAAAGATTCAATTGTGGATAATCATCAGGAAGCTGGAAAACCCTTGAGATTCACTCACGAACCCCAGACAATGAGGCATCTTCTTGCAGGCAACAAGAAGTCTTGACCGCATGAGTTAGGAAAATAAACAAATGATCAATTGATGATTGAGTTCCTCGTACAAATTGTTAAATAAACAGAAGAAATCCGTGTGGTTGGTTGTGGCTTTCGTTATGTTGAAAATTTACGACCTTTTCATAAGATTTACCCACCGCTAAGCATAATTAAACAGGTTTTATAGAATCATTCTCGCGTCACAGGAAATTGCTCAGTCAGCCAAGTTCTTCTTGTTACATAAAATTGCATAGATGTTAAATTAGGAGAGCCGCCGAGAGAGTTTTCACTCTATGCATAAATCCCCGGTAAATACAACAATATAAGGAATTTTAGCAATTCCTTTTGTGGCTTTTGCCGTCCTCTCGAAAAGCTCTCTCTCTCTGTGTGGGCCTCAATATAAATATTTAATAATGATATTTTACCTTGCCGCCCAACGGAGTTGCTGAAAGACAATCTACCTTCGCCAGTCTCTCTATTATTTATTATACGTCTGAATTTACTTTTTCTTATATTTTTCCAGGCTCACGTCTCCAGGGAGAATCATTTGTCCATTTCTTATGTCTCTTCCCATAGAGGATGAGTAAAGAAAAAGGATCCCAGACTACAATTGATTTGATCCCTGGGCATGGCCAATAAATGAAATTGACGACGACAAAAGGGCAGGAAGTTTACGCAAGAAAATGTTAAGAATGAGAGAGTCTCTCCCAGGCAGTCATTTTTATATAAAAATGATGTGCGACCCTCTATCAATGGGCCAACGTCTTCCGTGTCTAAGGCGCTTTATCGCCAGGGTGAAGGAAATGGAAAAGAGAGTGGAAAGCGCGAAGGGTGTCGTCTTAACAGTGGAAAATATCGATTTGTTGTGAATGGGGAGGCCAAAAGTGAAATAATTCACTGAAAACCACTGACAGTGTCATTAGCACGTAATTTATTGCGGAGCATCTATAAATTTATCCAACTCCTTCCACAATTGTCTCCCTCTGACAATTGTCATGGGTATCCTTAAAAGGAGGGCACCTGTCTCATTGTCCACCGCGCGAAGGGTTTTCCTTTGATCGCTGAGCACAGAATGAGGGTGAAATTGGGAGAATGGTTTTGAAAAAAGAACTAAAAGGTAGCCGCAAATGAGACACAATAAAGCATATCCATTTTTTATTCTCTCTCTCGCTCTCTGGACGATCTCCCACCAAAAACTAGATGATCGTAAAATAATATTTCAATATATGTGAAATGCGTCAAAACGGAAATGCCTCAAGTTCTCGAAAGACGGTCGCCCTCGGGCCAAAAGACATTTTCGGCGGTGGTGATTTGATCGTATTGCCCGAAAAAAACCCCACACACAAATATCAATAAATTTGGTATATTAAAAGCACATGATTTTTTGTATCATCCTCAGAGCCGCGCGTTAAAGAAGAAGTGAAAGACGCGATGGTGGCGAGCAAAAGGAGAATAAATGATATTTCTACTCCGTGGCTCTGGCACAGAATCACTTGGATCGAAAACAGCTTCAAATCGGTACAAAGAAGTCATAAAGTTAATTTATTGATTTATTATGCAGATATTTTTATTTCCATAATTTTTAATTTGAATTCCAGAAGCGCTAGTTAAAAGTTTGTATAGTAGTGGCTATATTATGCATATTTGACTGCCTCGCCTGTCGCCCCTCGTTGCCGAAAATACACATATCCTCGACATTATTCCGGCTCTCCAGCATGGATATAGTCTTGCTCGTCATGCTGCTTTTATGTGTAGCACCAGAAATGTAATAATTTTTATGGCTGATATGATTTTTGTGTGTCTTCGGAACTCCTGAACTTTCAGAGATGCCATTTTAGAGACCATCTGAGATTGAACACTGAAGCACGTGTTGCAAAAATAACTTTATATTGACATTTCAGAGGCATTAGATTTTGCATAGCCAGAAAAATTTATGCTAGATGAAAAAGATCATCCACAATGACTTCGATAAGCAATCAATTGGCTTTCTGGGACACAAAAATTATTTTATGTCCATTAATTGACTGTGAAGATCACTCTAAAGATTAATGAAAATTCTCTCAAGTGCAAAGTGTGAAGGATCAGGGATAATTTTGCGATCCTCTGTAAGAACTTGTGAGGGAAAATCTGTGTGGAACGAAGGCTGTGCGCGGAAATCATGATAGATTGTGAAGGAATGGAGACGATGACACACGGAATGGGAGGCAAACGGACAGAGAAAGAGATGGAAGAAGAGAGAGGAAAAGACATTAATTATCAAATTCGGTTCGCGGACAAAAAGACCACTAATGATAACTTATGGTCCGTATTAGAATCCGGAGGCTGGCTACCGTGTGACGCTGGCGTATCAAAATAATAAAATAATTATGTGCAGATGCGGATTTAAAGATATGTGTGGAGAGAAGATTTCTCTAATTTTATTACTTACTAATTTTATATTTCCCATGTCTATCTTATAAGGCTCCCTGATTTTCAATCTCATTTTTTTTACCCTCCGCACACACACTAAAATTTCCCCGATTTTACTGCGCATCAGCAATCTTCATTTAGTGTGATGATGATTTTTTT